CCTCAGCTCTAGCTCCGCAGGCCTGTGCAGCAGGAGGGCGGGGGGGCGGGGGCGAAGGAGTCGGGGAAAGTGCTGGAAGGGCAGGGAGCGCGGGGCTCTCACATCCCGCAGGGAGGCACAGAGACCCTTGTCCCCGGCCACCCCCCCAGGCGCGTCCCGAGCTAGGGCGAACAGACCCTGAGCTGTCTGCGCCCAGACAGAGGGGCCTGTGTGCGGCCACAGCTGGCCGCCGCGCCAAGGGGCCGCGGGCGTTTCTTCCAGAGACGAGGACCACAGCAGCCGCGTGGGCGACGCCGGGCGCTGGCAGAGGCGCGCCTGCAGCCCGGGACGCACAGCGAGGCCACAGTCCTGCAGACACTGCGCCCCTGAGCCCCAGGGGCCCCTGCAGCTGAGCGAAGCCCGTTCGAAAGACACCCCTGTCCTCTGTTTACGCTGGCCTCACCCCTCCCAGATCGGGCCTCCAGTCCGCACAGAAGCTGCCCCCGGCCCCACGTTTGTCTCGTGAAGGCTTGGGCGTGGGGACAGCTTTTTTAAAACTAGTTTTCTTCTTCTGAGACAGGCTGTCACTCTACTGCTTGGCTAGCGCGCGGTCATAGCTCCCTGCCACCTCCTGGGCTCAAGCGATCTTCCCACGACAGCTGCCCCAGCCGCTGGGACTGCACGTGCGGCCAGCACGCCCGGCTAATTTTTACGTTTTCTGTAGAGACGGGGACTCACTATGTTGCCCAGGCCGGTCTCGAACCCCTGGGCTCAAGTGGCCCTTGCACCTTGGCCTCCCAAAGTGCTGGGATTACAGGCGTGAAGCCACCGCGCCGGGCTGGGGTAGCTTTTAAAATATCAGTGGCAGAACAGAGAACTGGAGTGAGCAAGGCAGAACCTAATAATATTAGTGACACCAAAGAGGATCATTCACTTGCGCAGCCTTTGTCATTTCGAGGGCCCATCCCGGCCGTCTGACCAATATCTCAGGACCACTTCGTGAGCGATAAGATTAAGATTTGTATTTTACGGTTAAGGAAACAGAGGCGCTGGGGTGCCCAGGAACCTGCCCCAGGTGGCAGAGCAAACCTGCTGGGGAATTGGGATTTGAACCGGGACATCAGATTCCAAAGATGAGGCCCTTTTGGCGAATAACATCGGAACGGACGGCAGGGAGTCCGTGCTGCTGGGAGACTGTTTTTATGTCTAGGGTGGTTTTCTGCCTGGAGACACCAGGTTGAAGAAGAAAGTTTTTAACGTCCAGGACACTGGAGTGCAGTGGCCTCATCGCAGCTCACTGCAGCCTCGAACTCCCGGACTCCAGCGATCCTCCTTCCTCAGCCTCCTGAGTAGTTGGAGCTACTTAGAAGACCTTTTCTGTGATATACTAAATGTTAATATCATGAACGATAGAGTATAATCTGTGTTAATAATCTTTCCTTTTCAGTATCATAAGGTTTACATATTACAAAACAAAAAGTATATAGAATATATCAAGAAATTGACAAAATCATCCCCAATCTATTATTTTTTTGCTTCTGTCATATTGACTTTAAATACATGTTTTTATCATAAACAATTGAAATAATAATTCTTAAGTGTTAGCCTTTTAAAAACTGAGCTCAAGGAAGAAGAAAATTAAAACTTTGCTGAATTACTAACGAGTTATGACATAACTGCTATTTTTGGTAAGAATGATAACTTTTCTCAGCATATTCTAAACTTAGGGCAAATAAGAGCTCCATGGTAAACAAGATCTCAACCCAGCTAACTTCTTTTATTTCTATTTTTTGTAGAGATGGGATCTCACTATGTTGCCCAGGCTGGTCTCGAACTCATGGCTTTAAGCGATCCTCCCACCTCGGCCTCCCAAAGTGCTGCAATTACAGGCATGAGCCACCGCGCCCTGCCTGGTGGCCCTTTCTGCCTATTTAGGCATCAATATTATTTAGATTGGGTTGGAGAGAGAGACTTCTAGAAGGGCCCGTGGAAGGGAGAAAAAAATTGCTAAGGTGAGCGGACAAGAACTACAGGCGCTGATGGAGGGGCCATCTCTCTGCTGAAACTCGCAGCCCCACGGACGCTGGTACCAGACAGACAAGAGAGTCTCGGCGCCTCTTGCTACAAACAAACACAGGTGCCTGGGATTCAGAGGCCTGGAAATGGCTAAATTCAGGAGAGGCCTGAGGTCCTTAAATAGGGGGGACCCCTGTTCCCCAGTGGGTGCCCCATTCTGCTTGGACAGCAGTGGACAAGAAGCTCACGATCTCCCACACATCAGCCCAATCGAGATCTGTCATTTTATTACGTTTTTTAGATTTTTTTTAAATATTCTTTTTCTGCGGCCACACCGCCCTGAACGTGCCGGGTCTCGTCTGAGCTCGGAGGCTGGGCAGGCTCGGCCGGAGCGTGCTCGGCCGGGGACCTGCGATCCCGAGCAGCCTCCCGTGCTGCTTTCAACCCCGACTCTCTCCCAGGCTTCTGCACGCGTCCCAGTTCTGCCTTCTGGAACCCTCCCCGAATGAGGTCCCCCCCCCAAGTGGCAAATGCTTTTTCAAATTCTCTTTTTGCAGGCTGAACACACCCAAGCCCTTTAGACCATAACTCCCCAGATCGTTTACATAACGAACTCTTCCGCCCCATGTCCTGGGGGCGAGTTTCCTGCATCAAAGGAGAGGCAGATGAGCACTTGGCTCGTGCCAGGGAGTCAGAGTCACGCACCTTGGCCGGGTGCCGCGGCTCACGCCTGTAATCCCAGCGCTTTGGGAGGCTGAGGCGGGAGGACCGCTAGAGCCCAGGAGTCCGAGACCAGCTTGGGCAACATAGCAATATCCCATCTCTAAAAAAATTTTTTAAAAAATGTAGCCAGGCGTGGTGCACATGCCTGTAGTCCCAGCTACTCGGGAGGCTGAGGCAGGAGGATCGCTGGAGCCCAGGAGTTGGAGGCTGCAGTGAGCTGTGATGAGGCCACTGCACTCCAGCCTGGGCGACAGAGAGAGACCCTGTCTTGAAAAAATACATACAGCTTCCTTCCCGCATGATTCTTTTATTCCTACCAGTGTCCGTCATTCATTCACCCAATATCTATTGAGTGCCGACTGTATGCCAGGAACTATCATGGGGCTGGGGTCCAACAGTGATCAAAAAAAAAAAAAAAAAGATCTGTGCCCTTGCGGGGCTCTGTTTGGCGGCGTGCAAGCATCCCCCCAACTGCCAGGACTGAGCGCCTTCAACAACGTGCGTCCTCTTATAAATCCAGAGGCTGAAACCAGTTTCACTGGCGGGGCGGGGCCCTCCTGGGGCTCCAGGGCAGAACCTTCTATTGCCCTTTCCAGTGTCTAACGGCCACCGCGTCCCTCTGCCGGGCCCTTCCTCCCCCCAGAGCCAGCAGCGAGTGTCTTCCAGTCTCTCTGCCCCTCCCCCCCCCGCCCCTCGTGGGGGGACCCTGTGCTGACCCAGGCCCCCCGGGGCCATCCAGGGTGATGTCCTCACTTTAAGATCCTGAACTTAATCCCACGTGCAAAGTGCCTTTTGCCACGTGAGGCAGCATTGGCAGGTTGCAGGGACCGGGATGTGGCTGTCTTTGTGGAGGACTGTGCTAATAAAGCCATTATTTTCAGGACGGAAGCAATTCAGGCCATTGGGGAGGAGGTGACGAAAGGGGCCAGGGAGGCTCTCCCTGAAAATGTGGCCCGTGGGCAGAGAGACCCAAAGTAAGTGAAGTTGGGCGCGAGGGAAAAGCATTCTGAGCCGAGGGAACAGCCAGTGCCAAGTTTGAAGGTTAAGAGTAAGCTGGTCAAGAAGGAACAGATAGGAGCCACAGCAGCTACCAGGGCAGGAAGGTCGAGGGGAAAGGAGGTTGCAGACCCAGGGGGAAGCTAGACCCCGGATTTTATTTTATTTTATTTTTGAGACAGAACCTCATTCTATTGCCCAGGCTAGAGTGCTGTGGCGTCAGCCTAGCTCACAGCAACCTCAAACTCCTGGGCTCAAGCGATCCTCCTGCCTCAGCCTCCTGAGTTGCTGGGACTACAGGCATGCACCGCCACCATGCCCGGCTAATTTTTTTCTATATATTTTTAGTTGGCCAATTAATTTCTTTCTCTTTTTAGTAGCGACAGGGTCTTGCTCTTGCTCAGGCTGGTCTCAAACTCTTGACCTTGAATGAGCCTCCTGCCTCGGCCTCCCAGAGTGCTGGGATTACAGGAGTGAGCCACCACGCCCGGCCTAGACCCTGGATTTTCAATGGAATAAGCATTTGCCTGGGTTTTTATTTTTTTTATTTTTTTTGAGACAGGGTCTTGGTCTGTCACCCAGGCTGGAGTGCAGTGGCATCATCAGGGCTCACTGCAGCCTCCAACTCCTGGGCTCCAGCGATCCTCCTGCCTCAGCCTCTTGAGTAGCTGGGACTACCGGCATGTGCACCACACCTGGCTAATTTAAAAAAACTTTTTTTAGAGATGGGGTCTTGCTATATTGCCCAGCCTGGTCTTCAACTCCTGGATTCAAGTGGCCCTCCCACCTTGGCCTCCCAGAGTGCCGGGATTACAGGCGTGAGCCACCGCGCCTGGGCTGCCTAAGGGGTTTTAAGCTCGGCCGGGACACGGTCCCTCCGGCGGCTGCATGGAAAAACACACTCTCACTTGATTCGTGGGAACCCAGGTAAGAATATTGTAGTAAAATGAGATTGTTTTAGGAGAATGTTTAGAATTCTGAAAACAGTGTAAGGGGGGCTCTTTTGGAGCTGTGGGGGGGGGATCAACCTCACATCCATCCCGTGCTGGGCGCAGATCTCGGCTACGAGGCCACAGGGAGGCCTTGCCCACGCGGTCTCAGCGCTCACGGGGTGCGGAGCGGGTCAGCCCGGGCCAGGCCTGGCCGGCGCCGCTTAGAGACGCCCGCCCAGGTGGCAGTTCCAGAGGAGCTTTTGCTGCCCACCTGCGGTGCCCCCGCCTGCAGCCGCCCGGGGCAGGTGCCGGCCCACGCCCTCCACGGCCCACTCGGGAGCCTGGAAGTCCTACCTGGGAAGATCCTCGTCCTGCCATTCCTCCTTCACGTCCACGTTTTCCATCCGCAGCGTGGCCTCAGTGGTCCCCATGGGGGCGGGGAGGGGGTGCCGGCTTGGAGCCGGGGTGAGCTCTGAAGGGGAGGCGCAGAATATGGGGTTTACTGGGCGATAATCGTAAGACCAGCACCCCACGTGCAGCCCCGCTTACTGAATCGCTGTCCAGCTCGCTGGGCCTTCCCCATTTTACAGGAAAGAAAACAGAGGTGTACAGAGCTGAGAACACCCAGGTGGGCCTAGAGTTTGAACCCAGGTGAGGGGCTGAGCCTTCAGCTGTAAGCACCCCTCCCTGAGAAGCTCTGAATTCCACCCTCTCCTGGGAAAGCCAGGACCCAAATAGACTCATTCTCCCTCCCTTACCTTGGACCTCAACTGGGAAGCAATAAATCCAAATAGTCATTTATACTAAAGTGTGAATGACTGATATGCTCAAGCTTCCCTATTTTCAAAGAGGTCCTGGTTAACTCCAACTCATCTCCACCTGCCACCTCTACCAGGCCACCTGCTCTGCCCCTCTGTCCTCCAGAGAAGAAGTGAGTCCTAACAACCTGCTGACCTCAGGGCTAACAGAGGCAGTGTGGAAAGAGGTCACCGTCACCACCGACTACAAAATGCCCATTTTGTGTTTGTCCTCCGAGGAGCCCACGGTGGGGCAGGGACAAGGGGGGGCCCTCCAGGGGGTGGTCTGGGCAGGGTCAGGGCTGCCAAGTGAGCCTGAACTTGGGTCTGTCCGGGGACACGGCAGACTCTCAGACCACTTGCCTCTCTGGGCCTCAGTTTCCCTGTCTGGAAAGGAAAGGGTTGAATGAGAGGTGACCTCTGCGGCACCCTCGGGGCAGAGCGCTCCAGGATCTTACGGTTCAACCAAACCGCCACCGGTTTTGTGCCTTGAAACCAGCGGTTGGCACCTGGGGGAGAGTCTGCCGCCCCTCCCCCACCCCTGCGACATTTGGCGATGCCTAGAGGCTTCTCTGTTCGTCACAGCTGGGGGAGGGGGTGCTCCAGGCTGGAGGCCAGGGGTGCTGCCCAGGACGCCCCCGCCACCGGGGAGGGTGGGGCCCTCCATGTCCCTAGATCCCAGGCTGAGAGGCCGTTTTGAAGGCAATGGCTGTTTCTCTGTTTGCTCGTTAGTGACAGGATTTGGGGCCACGCCACCCCGTCAGCCCGTCCGTTACCTCCTTCCGTCCTCCCAACAGCTGCTGTCTTGCGATGTCCCCTTTCCAGCGTCTAAGGCCCCTGGCTCGAGTCACGCCCCCGGCTGCCCCCCCACGTGCACCTGGTGCGCCCAACAACGAGCCACCCACCCACCGGGAGCCGCAGCGTGGGGGGTGGCGGCCCTGCCTTGGGGGGCGGCTGGGGAGGGGACCCGGAGGGAGCCGGAGCCAGGTGAGCCGGCAGGAACCGGCAGGAACCGGCAGGCGATGGCCAAAGCGGCCCCTCCCCCACTCGGTGCCGGTTTCTCGCTCGGTTCCCCGTCCTGAATGTCGTCATTCATTCACGGAGGGGGGGACATGCAGGATGGGAAAAAATCCCCATCGGAGGATCGGCACAACGGCCACCGCCTAGAGCCTTTCCTGCAGGCGACAGTCTGCGTCGTGTCCCAGAGCTCTCTGGAGGGAGGGCTCTGTCGCCTTATCTGCGCCCCAGGAATCCGCGGCCCTAGTCGTGGGGGGCGTGGGGGCCCCCGCAGCTGTGTCGCTCCGTAACCCCTGAAGCGCCGGGCGTGGCCGTCCCCGGACCCGTCACTCCCGCACTGACATCCCGCTCCGCACTGGGGCGGGCGAGGGGCCGAGGGAGGGGCGGGGGCGGGCGCCCACCTGCGCTCCGACCGGGGCCGCCCGAGCTCCGAGCTCCGAGCCGAGCCGGGAGGGTCTGCGCCCGCGCCCCCGCCCGCCTCCCGGCCCCGGCCAGCCGTTGCGCCCAGGCCCTGCTTCCAGTCGCCGCGGTGGCCGTCCCGGGCCTCTTGTCGCCCTGGAGCAGGAGCGGACAGCGCGGGGCCGGGGCCCATTCCGGCCGCCCAGGCTTACGTTGCCCCCTAAGCTGTTGGCAGCGCCCGCGAAGGGCGCGGGGCTCTGCCTCCCGCCGGGCGGCGACCGGGTGCGGGCCTGGGGTCCCGGGCCGCGGCTCCCCGCGCCACCCGCCCGCCCGCCCGCACTCACCTCCGCGGCGGCGGCGGCCTCTCCCGGCGTCACGGGCACACAAAGGCCGGCCCCGGCCGCGCGCGGCCACCGGGCATGCCCCGCGGCCCGGCCCTCGGAGCCGCGCAGGGGCCTGTGTCGGCGGGAGCGCAGGCCCAGCTAGCGGCGGGCTCCGCGGCGCGGGGCGGGGGCGGCCGCGGCCTCTGTCGCCATCGCCGCCTGCGCCCTGTCGCCGAGGAAGACGCCTCTCCTGCCGGCTCCCGCTGGCGGGGCTGCGCGGCCCGGGCGGCCGGGCGCCGCTCCCGTGCGCGGGCTGGGCGGGGCGGCGGGGGCCGGGCGCGGGAAAGCGCCGGCCCTCCGTGGCGCTGGCTGCGCACAGCGGAGAGCGAGCGCGCGGGTCGGGGCACAGCGGCGCGGCGGCCGCTCCGTAGGACTCGGGTGCGGGAAGGTCTCGGGGTCACGTCCCCTTTCCAAGGCGGCAGGGCTGGGGTGTCCCCTAAGCGGCCAAAGAGATCAAAAGCTGTCCCAGGGCCCCCGTTTTGCGGGTCCACCGACGGCCACGCACGGCTGAGGGAGCCTGCGCCCCGAACCCCACGGGTCTGGGGGGGCAGCGGCCTCTCCACAGACCCGCGCGCCTGCAGCGCCCCGCGGTTGTGCGCGGGCGGGGGTGGCGCCCACCCAGGGAGCCCGAGGGCGCGGTGGGACGGGCGGGGACTCCGGAAAAGGCGGCTCGGCAGGCGGAATCAAGTTGCGGATCTTGAGATGAGACTGTCGTAGAGGAGGGTGGGCCCCAGATTGAATGCCAGGTGTCCCCAGAAGAGAAGAGGAGACCGCGGGGGAGGGGCGGCCGTGCAAGGCGGAGGCGATCCAGGGGCCAGGTCCGGCTGGCCGGGGGTTCCCAGCTGCCACGGAAGCAGGGAGAGCGCGAAATGATTCTCCGACAGAGACTCCAGAAAGCCACCCCTTGTTGACACCTTGATCTCAGACTTCCTGCCTCCCGAAAGGCAAGACGATACATTTCTGTTGTTTAAGCCGGCCCGTGCAGTGGCATTATATTTTTGTTTCAATAGCCCAAGAAACAAAGTTTATGATAACCCCAAGTGAGGATCGGATCTGTTCGCTCCTCCTCTTCTGACTTACTGGCTGGCTTTCTGCCTTTTCTCTGAGCAAACCACATCCGGGTTCACCCTACCGCAGGCCCTTTGCCGTGTTCTGTGCCGGGAACGCCTCCCAGAACTTCATGTGTGTGTGTCGTTCACAAGTTACCTCCTTCGAAGAGCCTTCCTGGACCCCCTCCACCCTCCACTCTACACCCGATCGCCCTCCATCCCATTGCCCAGTTTGATTTTTTTTTTTTTTGAGACGAGATCTGCGCTGTTGGTCCAGGCTAGATGTGAGTCCGTGCGTCAGCCTAGCTCACAGCAACCGTCACACTCCTGGGCTAAGTGTACCTTCTGCCTCAGCCTCCCGATAGCTGGGACTACAGCATGTGCCGCCATGCCCCGCTAATTTTATATAATATCAGTGGGCCCATTAATTTTTCTATTTATATGTAGGAGACGGGTGTCCGCTCTTGCCAAGGCTGGTTTTGAACTCCTTGACCTTGAGGCAATCCGCCCCGCTCGGCCTTCCAGAGCTAGATTACGGCGTCGAGCCACAGCGCCCGGCCTGATTTTTTTTTTTTTTTTTTTTATGTGATGAACATTAAAAAAATTATGGTAAAATGCACACAACTTACAATTCACAATTTTAACCAATTGAGACTGTACAACTCGGTGGCATGAAGGGCATTCACATTGTTGTGCGAACATCACCGCTGTCTAGTTCTAGACCTTTTTCTTAAATGGCAGTCCTGTCCCCATCAGCTGTCACCCCCACCCCCTCCCAGCCCCTGGCACCCATGAGTCCACGTCCAGTCTCTGTGGATCTGCCTGTCCTGGACATTTCATATAAATGGAGTCTCACACTGTGTGTCCTTCTTTTTTTTTTTTTTTTTTTTGAGACAGAATCTCGCTTTGTTGCCCAGGCTGGAGTGAGTGCGTGGCGTCAGCCTCGTCACAGCAACCTCAAACTCCTGGCTCAAGCATCCCCTGCCCCAGCCTCCCGAGTAGTGGACTACAGGCATGCGCCACCATGCCCGGCTTATTTCTACATATATTTAGTTGGCCAATTATTCTTTCTTTTATAGTAGAGACGGGTCTCGCTGCTTGCTCAGGCTGGTTTCGAATCCTGACTTGAGCAATCCTCCTACCTCGGCCTCCCAGAGTGCTGGGATTACAGGCGTGAGCCACCGTGCCTGGCACTGTGTGTCCTTCTGTGTCTGGCATCTCTCACTGAGCACGACGTCCTCAAGGTCCCTCCACGCTGTGGCCTGTGTCAGAGCCTCGTCCCTTTCCGTGGCTGAGTGATGCTCCAGGTGTGGATGGGTCACATTTTACACCTCCATTCATCCTTTGATGGACACTCGGTTGTTCCCACCCCTTGGCTGCTGTGGACGGTGTACGAGCGCTGGAGTCCTGTTTCTAATCTCTCGGGTGCGGGCCCGGGTGCGTGCCCGCCGGGTCAATCTGTAATTCTCTGTTTTGCTCACTCAGGGACCTGATTTTTTTTGCGCAGCGCTTACCACTAATGGAAACTGTTTACTTATATCTTTGTCAATTCTCTGCCCCTCCACCCCTCACCAGAATCGAAATTTCCAGAAAGCAGAGACCCAACTAGTCTCACTTTCTCTGCCCAGGGCAGCGTCTCCTGGTGCCAAGGAGATGCAGGTGGGAGGCACAAATGCCAAGCCCTTCCCGGACACTCGGTGACTTAGGCTGGACCCTCACTCACGGAGTCCGTAGCCCTCCAGACCACAGGCATTAAGGCGACCTGCCCTGCGGCAGGGACAGAAAGCCCTGCTGGGGACAGAAAGCTCTGCTGGGGACAGAAAGCCCTGCTGGGGACAGATAGCTCTGCTGGGGACAGAAAGCCCTGCTGGGGACAGAAAGCCCTGCTGGGGACAGAAGTTGCCCTGAGACTTGGGCACAAGGTTTGGACTTCCCACCTCCTGGCTGGAGGAAGGGGAGTTCTTGCAAGAGACACTTGTGTTCATCGAGGGGGACATTCCGGCCGGTCCCCAAGCACAAGATGTGAGCGACACTTTGCTCTCAGAGAACTCCTATTTGCTTGGGAGAAACAAGTGGTCAAAGAACTGCACTGATTTGGGGACATCGTTGGAGACAGCTCTTCGGGGCAGACTTCCTGGAACATACAGGGCAGGGGTGAGGGCGACATGAGTCCGGCCGGGAGGAGTGAGCGGGAGCTCGACGGCTGAGGAGGGAGACGGGCTTCCTGGACAGACCGGCCTGGGCCGACCCGTTTGGCTTGTGAGCAACAGCAGCTTGTGGCCGATGGGACAGGGCCTGGGAGCTGTCCGTGGTGCTGCAGCTGGCACAGAGGAGCCGCCTGGGTGGCCTGAACTTGCTTCCCTGCCTGTTTCCGTTTTGTTTTACGTTGTGGTAAAATACAAACAACATAAAATTTACATTTTTAACTATTTTTAAGTGCACAGCTCAGCGGCATGAAGCACATTCACACTGCCATGCAACCGTCCCCGCCCTCCGTCTCCAGAACTTTCTCGTCTTCCCAAACTGACGCTCTGTCCCCATGAGACAATCACTCCCCACCCCCACCCCAGCGCCCAGCACCCACCACCCTATTTCCCGTCTCTGTGGCTCTGACACCTCCAGGGACCTCCTGTGAGTGGAACCACACAGGACATGTCCTTCTGTGTCTGGCGTCTCTCACTGAGCACGATGTCCTCAGGGTCCCTCCACGCTGTGGCCTGTGTCAGAGCCTCGTCCCTTTTCTTGGCTGTGTGGTATTCCACGTGTGGACAGACCGCATTCTGTCTATCCATGCAACCGTGGACAGGCATTAGAGCTGTTTCCACCTTTTAGCTCATTGTGAATCGTGCTGCTGTGAGCGCGTATGTTCATGCATTTGCTTGTATACCAGTGTGTCCCTTTGGGTAGATACCTAGGAGTGGACTTGCTGGGTCCTATGGTTTTTTCAGTTGGCCAATTAATTTCTTTCTATTTTTTAGTAGTAGGTGGGCATTGCTCTTGCTCAGGCCTGGTTTTGAACTCCCTGACCTTGAAGCAATCCAC